GTTGGAAAGCTGTTTTTCTGCTTATATGGGTACAGATAGAGGAATGAATGGATACACATAGAGTAATGAATGGGTACAGAAAAGATAGATAGGTACAGATAGAGAAATGAATGGGTACAGAAAAGATAAATAGATAGGTACAGATAGAGAAATGAATGGGTACAGATAGAGGAATGAATGGGTACAGAAAAGATAAATAGATAGGTACAGATAGAGGAATGAATGGGTACAGAAAAGATAAATAGATAGGTACAGATAGAGAAATGAATGGGAACAGATAGAGGAATGAATGGGTACAGATAGAGGAATGAATGGGTACAGATAGAGGAACGAATGGATACAGATAGAGGAATGAATGGGTACAGATAGAGGAATGAATGGGTCAGGGGCGTAGCGAGGACCTAGGAGCTGGGGGGACATTGATCCAAAATATAAAAAAATTACTCCTCCCCAATAAAACAAATAAACGCTCAAACAAAAATTTAAGAAACAAGCATTATTTTATTAACCATTCTTAAATCTTAGGTTGTAATAATTTATTTTCCTCTTTCGTTTCGGTTCAATGTTTTTTTTTTGTTGTTATTCTTTTTTCAAAAAATTTCTGGAATGGGTAATTATGAAGTGCTGCGTCTCGGGCTACCCCACTGGGGAACGTTTTGTAATCATGTTATTCTGCGTTGTGGGGGACAACGCTAAATGAGCCAGCAATATCATTTATCGAATACAAAATCTTGCATGTCAAAACCAAAAGGTATCCAAATAGCAAAAGTAGCATGTGGAATAAGATTAATTTTAAAAGTCACATATGAAAACTAAACTTTAATATGTTCAAAGTTGCAGGTCAAGTACATAATGTTACTAGGAAACCATGCCAGTAAAATGCTAAGTTCAATTTTTGGCCCCGTCCCTACGCGGCTTGCATCATCGCCTTACCATACAAAATAAGGCGCGATATATGTTCGTTTTTCATGAAAAATAAATAGCTGTCACTTAATGTTAGCAATTGGACCTGAAAGCAAACATGACACTATACAAGTCAAAAACCTGTGGTGGTAAATTTGCATTTTCTTCTATCTTTTACTCCCGGACAGAGGGCTAACATGATTAGCCTTGTATAGGGTTAACTTTATTAACCTCTATTAAATCAAGGACACAACATTTATTAATCGATGTTTGTTTCAAATAGCATTAGGTACTTGTTTAGGATGTTTGAGTGCTAGGAGTTCTTAAATATCTACAGGTTTTAATCGCTTGGAAAGCATCTTCTAAACTTTGTTTAAGTGGTTTATGGCTCCTGTCATCTGCGAAATCTTCAACAAAGTAATTCACCTCATCCACACGGTTAACATGATCTAAAGAATTTATGTTATTTTCTTGATAATCCACTTTTATTGGAGATATTGGTCTTGGGGTTGGTTTTGCTGCGGGATCATTCAGTTTATCATCTTGAAAAAGTCTTCTTTCTTCGAGTCTGTTGTTTTTCAAACTTTCTGACATTTTATTTTTGTCCACTCCCTTGATAATATTCAGGGTTTTTATCGTGCGGGGTACCAAAGGAAGCATTGTTGGACTGTCAGGATGTAGACATTTCAAAGATCCTAATTCCTCGTGAATCGGAAAGAAGCTAAAAGGCGAATAGGGTACTATTGCACGCTTCTGATTAAAAAGACTATCGTCCTTGACATAGCTGGTTGACGTTAATGGAGGTAATCGAGAAATCCTTTTACATTCAAAGTTACTTTGTTCCCCTGGAGGAATCCGCGTCCTTGACCTGTGGATATCCTCGAGCCTTTTCCTAATGCGTTTATCTCGCATTTTCATGATCTTTTGCTCCTTACTCAAAAATCTGTAACGATCTTTTTTTTCTGAATCCATCACTTCCATCACTTGTTGACATTTACAGATATAGCATTGACCACACGACAGTTTTCACGGCTTGGAAGACCGCAAGGCTGACACCAATCTTTAAAAAGGACGATGAWACTGACTGTGGTAACTATCGGCCCGTCTCTTTACTTAGTGTCCCGAGTAAGATCTTGGAAAGTGAGGTTAACGACAGACTGGTGCAGCATGTCTTTAAGAACAATAATCTAATCTCAGAAAGGCAA